TCCAGCATCACATTCACGTGTTAACCCAAGTGTTAAAAAAATTACCCAAGAAGCAGCATCTGGCAATGATTAGTGGCCATTAATTGGTGTTAACTGGTGCTACTAGTGTTTACAGAGTTGAAGGATAATTAGCTGGGGGTCAGCTCAAGGCTCAAATTAACATGTCAGAACTCTGCAGCTGTCTCGTGACAACTAAAGCAGAGGTGGGGCGTAGCAGAAGTTGGTGGCCAGGCAGCGTAGGATTATGGCGACAACTGTGTGTGAGAGCAAAATGTAGATGAACTCTTTCCTATATGTTTGTCTATGTTCATTTTTTGGGACAAAACTGAGGGGAAGCCCAATGTTTATGTGTCTGTGCTGGAGTGGATCACTCCAGAGTCAAAGTGACAAAAATTAAGCACCTCCAGAATAGTTCTCAGCAGGACCCAAGTTTAATTTGCCAAAGTAAACAGTAAAAAGAAATACTCAGGCTTAGCCTACCTATGTTCCACTGCAGCACCTGTACAAACAGCAGAAMTGAAACTCAGAGTGCGGAGTTACCTCACACAGCTGGGAACTTTGGTAATCACTGAGAGAAAGAAGTGGACGCTGCTTATGATTGGAGTCAAGAAAAACTGATGYGTTCTCGAAAGGGCAGGCGCTGTCGTTTACCAAAGTGGATGCAGAGAGACGTGAATAGCAGGTGAGTTGCATCCCTTGTGGCAGGAAYATTCATCACAGCCCGTGTGGCACCCTGGTGAACCACTTTGTGGACTTCGGTGGGAATCAGAATAAGGTATTAAAGAATAAAATCCAGTGTTAAGTTTGACATCAAAGATGTTCACGATGCAATCTTTTAATATGGAGATGCAAAAATTGACTTAACAGTCAACAGCCGATCAAAGAACTCAGTTTTCTTTCTGCTGTAGCCGAACTTTGTCACATTTTATCATATAATACTGTAATATATAGTATTTTATCATATTTTCTCATGAATTTTGTTATGCTGAGCTACATTGAAGTGATGGCATATTGTTGATTATTGATTCAGAAAGTAGATCTCCGAGCAACACCATCTAACAAGACTCAGCAAATTGAATTCAAGGAAAGCAAAAGGGAATTTAGCAATCTGGGTAAAAAAAATAGAAATGGTAAATATTTTAATGAATATTTCCATCTCCACCTTCTGCTGCTTATCCGTACCTGTTGGGATGACTTGTATGCAAGCAATTACGTGACTAGAAGTACTATTAAACAAAAAATCTCCAGATTTGACCAGAAGACATTCTATGAAGTACATGTAATCACAGCACCCCTGGGCCACATTATTACTTTTATTTCATTCATTTGTGTATTTTTTTTTTCTTTTGACCTGGCACTTAATATTATATTCTCCTAAAGTTTGTGCTAAGTGCTGCAAACAACAACGGGCGTCTGCTGCGATATCCCCACACAAGAGGATAACTCCCAGCCATCAGTCACTCGGCTCCGATACAGGATAATGACTGGAGCAAATCCATTGTGCGATAACTTATCTGTCAGGGTCGGTGGGACTTTCTTTCCCTTTTTTTTAACTTCTTATATGAGTTCTTGCGTTTCATAAACCCAAAATTCATTTCACTCTGTATCTCTGCTGATAGAGTTTCTTTGTCAGTGAGAAGGAACTCTGCGGCGGGGAGATAGAGAGGGGAGAGAATTCACCCCACACTGCAGACATTGCAGGAAAAACTGAGATAAGAATATTAAACAGAGGGGAAGAATTTTGTCATCTCTCTCAAACCAATAACATGACAGGATTCTGAAATGAAACGTGTTTTCCTCGAATGCTATTTTCTATTTCATAAAGCGGGTGGGGGAGGGTCTACTATTTTGAGCTTTATATCATCATGTCATTCCCTCATCAAAAAGGTACCCAGAGTGTTGCTTTGACTCATTCATGCATGTTTGAGAAATCCTTGAATCTCCTCACGTGGAGCTGCCTGAACTCTTGACGGTACAAAGCACCACCTATTTCCTCAAAGCTCCTCCCTGGAGCTCAGTCTGCAGCCGAGCTCCTGCACCACAGAGCACCCCTCCCATGAAGCATTGTTTTGAAGACATGCTGAAGTGGGAGTGTCTGAAACGGTAGGAGGTTTTTGAAGAGACAGAGGCCAATTTCAACGTGTTTAAACAGACTATAATGCAAAGTCAAATTTATATACAACTTAGAATTGAACTACATGCATGTAAAACACAGAACACCCCTTCTTTAACTAATTTCTTTAAGAGAACGCTACAATTATTTGTATCACCTCACATCGAGTCATATTTTAAAATCAGAGCAAATCACACCAGAGCATAAAATCTTTTTTATAAGTTAAAACAAAGATGCTATCCCAACTATGTGATCAAATTCTCACTTTTTGACCAAATCAGCCTGCAATTTTCCCTTGAGATATTAAGCAACAAACTGAATAACACTCTGGAAACACTGGGACAGTGCAAATGAAGAAGATGAAATGTTGATGCGTGTAAAAAGTTTACTAGGATTTTAAACCTTAATAACTGATTCTGTAAATCACAGACCCAAGACTGAAATTTTATGGATTTATCTTGCGCGGCGTGACAAAACAGTAAATCTATAATTTATCTATAATCATAAAGCGTGGCCTTAAACCCTCCAAACGACTGCATCTTAAACAGGAGAATTATAGTCAACATGAATGCTTTGGGTTTATTGTGTATAATGAAATTGTCTCTGAAATGTGAAAATGGGGATGGCAACTCTGCTGTTTAAGACTGGGACAGTCACAACGTTAATCAGTACCACTGATGATGACTGCAAATTGCTCAAGATTATGTTGACATATCTTCATTGCTGCGTGTGGGAGGAGGCGACTGGTGGCGGCAGGGCTGCTGTTTATCTCGTCAGTAGCCCCCGGGGGATTCTTCGTTCAGTATTCTTTTTAATGTCCAGCAATTAAAGGCCGTCAAACTGCCGATGAGGAGGAGATTGAGGTATGGAGGAGCACGGTGCAAATGAACCCTAAAAGGGATCAGAAACAGATTTAGAAATAAAGCTAATTGTCTTCGTGGTAAAAGGAGCACCAGTGGTAGAAGTTACACATCCTCGCAAACATCAGCTAATCCACGCTACAATGTCATCTACGTTTCAGTGATGTGCGGAGGCCTTAGTTGAGCTATTCGACAGGCAAATCCATCGTGCCTGGTTTTCATTCACAGTCACAGTTGATGCAGTTWCTGCTTTACATATCTATCAGAGTGACAGGCACAGCGTGTTGGTTTGTTTCACTCAACAGGAGAAATTAATCACACACATTTAGTACTACAAGAGAACGTTTGAGCTCCGCATTAACTGCACTCGTGCTGCTTTTGATGGCCGTTTTAAGACAATAGTTTCTGGCTTCTCATTGAGGCTATTTGTTAACAGGTCTAACTTAACTGTCAGAGCGGCCTTTGAGCTTGTTGTTTATGTGCATTAATAGAAGAGTTGAAGTCAATGTTCGGAGCTCATGGAATTCAGGTGATTTCAGTAACAAACACACATCTTTTTTTTATTTTCAAGCTTTGTTTTTCTGTGGATAAAAAAACATCACAGACCAGCGTTACTTGCCTCATTTTGCCTTGAAAGGACAGTGTTAAAGTGYTTCCTGCAAATGGCAGCTTCATGTAAAGTAAATCATAATACAGGCACATTATAGACAGATTACATCTATTAGTTACTGCTGTGCTGCATGCAAATGGCATGCCCATGGGAGAGCAGAAAAATCATTTTAAACTTCAATAAGTTACAAGCGGTGGTAAGCCTATCCGTAATCTGCACAAAGCCCCAGGCAGCAGCGAGGCTGGATGCAATTAGAGGGGAAATAAAATTCAACACAGTAAACAAAGAGGAAAATGTTTAAAAAAAACGATTAATGAACATTACAGAAGGAGATTCTCTCTTCTTTCATGACTTTGGCTATTGTTCCCTTTAATTGCTGGAAGTTGTAATATATGCCATTACATTGGGAGATGCATTACAGCTCACATTTCAAAGGAATGTGACTATTCAATTATATAACGTGTGTAGAAAGATTGAGGTTTTGCAGAAACCTTCTAAGTAATGAGTTGGCTATAACCTGTAGTGAGAGTTTAAATGTTACTGTTTCCATATTTGTCATGGAAGAATATTCACATTGCTTCCCACCTCACATATATATGTACTGATGATTGGTAAGAAATGTACAGTTGTGTTAAGATGTTTTCAAGCAGTAAGTAGAATAGTGGGGGGCTTTCTAGATGGAGTTTACATGCTCACCCTGTGGTGACGTGGATTTGTCTGGGTTGGGACCAGTCCAGAGTGAACCCTGCCTCTGGCACAGTGACTACTGCGGAACAGGTTCCTGCAACCTGCAAGGGAGAAGTTAATAAAGAAAGCATATGGATGCATATTTTGCATATAAGCTACTGATCCTAAACT